CCGACCGGTCCTTAGGTTGAACTAAACTCAATGCTCACCTGTTTTTGTAACTCACATGCGTTTGATTATAACACGTTAAAGCTAAATGTGACAATTTTCTAAAAGTGGCTGCAATTTTAAAGGTACCACAATTAGGGAGAATTCGTCAAACACCTTAAAAAAATTAAAAACTACCAAACACCCTTTCATAGAAGCTGTAGTTTCTTCTACTAGAAGGCCGTACGAAACATGCACCAGTTGAAGGGAAACCGTTGAGCTCCTAACTTTCGAAAAATTAGTATTAATATTATAGTTCATGTACTTGCAATTATAAGCTCCCTCAATTTGGAAGTATGTGAGAAAAACAAAGTTTATCCTGTCAGTACTTGGTCGGCCGACATTCTATATCTTGTGCACCGTAAGCATAATTAACGGGGACACTAATTACTTAAGAGTGCTTGTTGCTAAAAAAGAAAAAAAGAAGAAATTAAACTCAAATCTTGTACGTGATGCTGATGATGTGATGATGCTCTTCTTGTTTTATTCAGTGTACTTTGGCTCGCAAGCCGAAGTATACCAAGTGCGGTTCATTTACTTGTTTGAAAATTTGTGTGAATGCGGAAATCTTTCAAGTTTTGGGCTGGCATTGCGATAACCTTTCTTAAGTGCGTTTGATTAGTCAAAAAGGAAAATCTCGATAGTTCCAATTATAGCTTAAGAATCTTCGTGTATAACTAGACAAGTAAAAGAATTTGTTAAGCATACAAAAGGAAGGGAAGAAATGGTGGTATTAAATACTTAATCTTTTTGTAATTAATCGATAAATCCTATAACGACTCCATTTCATCGATTGAGCTTCTCTCTCTAATAAACTCACTTCCCCGTATGCTCATCGTCATAAATAATCACTTATAAAAGTATCCCTAGAAAAAAATTATGTTTTGCCAAAGTAATGTTTGACTTTTGAGAAGATTGGCATTAGACACGAGGGGTATGAGATCTATTACTTCAACAAACGGTGGGTACTTGCTACAAACTCCTTTAGGAATCAAATTACAAAGGAAAATAATCTCGTCCCTGTTTAAGTGGCTGCAGTGTTTAGCTACTTTTGTAACCTTTTGTCATTTTTGTAAATCTTCCACGTGCAGGACCTAACTTCCATGTCATGATTGTACTATGGTTAATGTAATAATTAGATCTAAACCTAGATAAATATGAGAGGATCGAGTCTCTCAGACGTTAATTAGCTCATAGCACCATTTTGATGGGGTTAAGAGCCCCGAAGTGATAACATCAGGGGCTAACTTGACACTCTTCACTGCCCTAATTAGCCTCCTCCTTTTTGGTATTGATGAGCTGTTGGAACAACAGAAAATCGTCAAAAAGAAGTAAAGAAACATCAGTGAATGAAAATTCAGCAAAAGTAATCCATCTTACATTATGAGTGATGACCTCTTAACAGCTGGGGTTTGAGTGTTCTCAAAGAAACCAAACGAGGGTGACGCCAAACAAGGAGAGCCTGCGCATATGGAACTGCACGTTGCAAGACTTGGTTCTGTATTTGTTTAAACAAACAAATTGCAAATTCCAAGACGTGGTAGTTCGTGATTGTTTTTCATTATCATACGCTTTCATTCCTTCAAACCCATAGGGCTGGAAGATGATAGTACTATGATAGTATGCTTTGAATCATCTCTTTTTTCTTCAATTTTTTGAAAAAAAATTCTCATATATATTCTTGAGTTGGCTTCCCAAATTCCAAAAAGGCCAAACGAGCTAGTAAATGATGAGCATTACATTCATTCATTCTCTGTATATGATACTTTATGGGATGTGCATGATACATGCGATCTGGGTAGGTAAACTTCTTTTTTTATTATTCATATTAAGGAAAGAATTGGGGGGAATCTTAGATGCATTTGTTTGGTACATTTCACACACACAATTATGATGTTCCTTTTCACTATTCTTGTCCCGGATTACAGATCACTAACTTTGTGTTTTCATGAATAGTTCAATTGCATTTATTAACAAGGCACCTGTGCTTTCATTCCAAAAGTGCTTGATCAATTGCATTGTTCTAATAAGGCAAAAAAAAAACATTACATTAAACAAATTAGAGGGCATGACTATGACTTTCACTTTGTGACATTGTGCTGATTAGTTAGATTCTAATTCCTTGGCCCCATTAGATAATCTAACTTATATTCCTCCATTAGACAAAGGGCACTTTAATATATTCGAAACATTGCGAGATTAGCCAAGCATAATGACAGTAGAATACTTGGCCACCAAGTCCAAATACACAGACCCCTTTCTTGATTAGAGAGACTAAGTGATTGTTAACAGAGATATCTTCCTTTAATGTTCTTTCCTTTTCTTCTTTTTTCTTTTTTTCCCCCTTTTTTCTTTAGTGGTTGCTAGGGTTCAAGCTCGTGCTTGTGTTTACTCTTTTCTGGCGAATGTCGTGAGCCTGTTTACTTGGGGGCATCAAATAGGCATATTTGGTGAAGTGCATCAGTGCAGGCTATTGTCCATTCACTCAACAATGATTTTGCCAAAATTGTAGCACATTATGAAGCACCCAAATAAAAGTTTTTCTCGATTGAAATGAGAAATGGACAATTCGTGACACGGGCACAAGAAGACAAAACTTTAGGGGAGATGATCTCTCTTTAAAAGAGAGACTATAATGATGTCAGTTCACGTTTATAGATAGTGATGGAAGTTGAACATTTTTTAGGGTTCAATAAAAGTTTGAGACTTCCCTTTCCTAATTCTCTGTCCTACACTGTAATCAAATGCATAATCTGCCAAAACCCAACCTCCGCAAAACCCAATAAAGCACTTCGCAAAATCAAAGGAATCTAGTCCCAATGGTGTGGAATCCACACATAATCTTTAATGAAATCTCCACTTAATTAGAAAAAGGAAAGAGCAATGAGCTTTAGCACCATGATTTCGTCCCACGAATCATCATAGAAGACATTTGATTTGTGCGAGGAAGTGCAAAGTGCGCTTTTTCCTTGTGCTGATGAAGAGTCATGATTGCATGTGAGGAAAAAAGAAGATTCAGTGGTTTGACTATCACATGCACACATTCTCTCTCTATCTCTTGGAGAACCTGTGGCATGAACTGAATGAGGGACGTCAAGTTTCTATTAATCCGAGACCAGAAAAGATGCTGCAAAATCATTTCAAAAGACAAAGGTAACATCAATTCATTCTAGTGTGTGCAGCCCCCTTCTTTTGCTCACCTCCATTCTTTTTGAGAAAAGTGTGGAGTGAGAGATGGCATAATCAAACCTTTATTTGACGCAAATGCCAGGCTTGCCAAGAGACGCACAACCAAAGACACCAATCACCCAGCAACCCCCCAGAAGCTTCTCTCCTTGCGTCTGATCCAGATGGTGAAGTGTAGTGAAATGATTTGTTTATTCGTGGTTGAGAGCTTTTGAAGAGATGTCAGTAAAAGCAAAAAGAATAGTTCGAGCGGGGTTCTCTTTGATTGATCAAATCTCTTTTTAGAAGTCTAAAGACACTTTCATAGACTCCCTTTGAGTAAAAAATAAGCTTAATGAAGATTGTTGGGTCATTCATGAGAAGCCCCTTATTAATTTCTCTTTTCTTTACATTTCTCTTTGATCATTGATTGACGGACGCTATTCATATACAATTCTATTCATACACGATTCTGTCGATTTGAATTGAAGAGCGTTAGGTTGAGATTAGCCTATTCATTCGTGCCATTAACACATCAACCCATTAATGCTAAATAAACAGGCATGTTGGGTACGAATTCACCTTTTCAATACTTTAAAGCTCGTTGAGGTGTACTTCGTTAGTGGATCAATTTATTATTATTGTTAATATAAGACTCGCTTGTCCATGCTTTTGTTCGCCTATGCATGTTGATGCGTGAAACAAGTTCTTGAACATGCTATACGCAAAAATGTCATATCATCCTAATAATTAGACATGTCATGTTTGGGTTTCAAGAGTAATAAGTTGTCGTGTTCAATTAGACAAATTTCTGTGATTTTTATAATATGGCTCGGCACTGTTGATGGTTATGGCATGGAAAAGGAAATTGCTCCCCGCCTTAGTTTCACCCTTGGTCACAAACCAAATTGACCATTTTTCTGCCCAAGCTGGCTTACATCATAACTAATATGACCCTTTATTTTTATAGATTAATACCACAAAAAACTCCAAACTGATACTCCCGCAACAAATTCATCATAAATTAATTTTTTTACAATCAAAAACCCAAAAATAGTACACATGTGACAAATTTACCCCGAACTAATTTATTTACCACAAAAAACCTTAAACTGATATATTTGCAACAAATTTACCCTCCGTTAAATTGAATTAATACCACGAAAAATCACAAACTAGTACACATGAGGATAAAACCCCAAACTTATATACTAGTCAACTGCCACACGCCATTCAATTCAGAAAATTAAAAGTAAAATTTAATGGAAACTAAAAGAAGGTAAATTTGTCATAATTGTACTAGTTTAGGGTTTTTGATAATCAAAAAATTAGTTTATGATAAATTTCTCACAAGTGTACCAACTTAGGGTTTTTCGTAGTATTAACCCTATTTAATTATTTTTTATTTTTTTTGAGCAAGGATGAAGGGAATTTGCAAGACTAATTTATTTGCATTCTAAAGGATTAATTGATTAAAACTAAATGTTTTCTTAGACGAAAGTTTCATCGCATGAATAGAAATGAGTATTTTGTCATGAATAGAATCTTTCCCACACATTCTTCCGCTGAGAAGGCAAAGACACTGTTCTTCTATTCTTCATTTGAAAAGCTTCATATTCTTCCTCATTTTCTGATTTTGTTAAAAAGAATCACAACTACAAGCTACAAGACCTTTTATCAAGAAGTTATGCGATTCACCGGCGAAGATTTCGCAAATTTACAACGAGCACGTGTATGGGCATGATACCATCAATTGGCTAAAACTAAGAGCTAATCTTACTGAAAAATCAGACCCAATGTGATCCCAAACCCAAAATGTAATCAGAAAGAGAAGCATTATGGATCTGCAAAAATCCACACAGACCAGTCCTAACAAAATGCTCATGAAGGAAAATTGCTCTCGCAAAACCAGAGACAGTAATAAGAATTTGAATACTCAGCACCAATTTTGCTGATGAAAATTAGAGGGAGAGGAGAGAGTAAAAAGTGGGGGAAAAGAGCTCAGCCAATTTGTTTCCACTAGAAAATTGAAGTGATCCATGTGTAGCTTCATGTCTTCACATCCACGTTGACTTTGAGGGAGTTGGGATCACCAGCAGATCCCACAACAGCTCAGATACACTTTTCAAACTCTCTTTAATGCAGACATCACCAAAATGGGTCAAAAGTCAATTCTCTCAGTCCAGACATTACCTTTGAATGGAGAGTGCAACCACTTCCGACGTCGGTAGCCTCTAAACAATTATTGAAGACAGAAGTTGAAGGGAGGATCTCAATTGAGATAGTCAGCTCAATGATTTTTCCATTCTTTTTCTTTTTGTTTCATATTTTTAGTGAGAAATCTCACAATTATTTCATGTAGAGTGACAACTATAACAAGTAGTAGCACATTCCCACAAACCTTTATCAGAACAAGAGAGCAAGCATTTCGTTGGTCAGACGCTATCTTGCAAATAAGCAGATAAGAAAACTGCCAATGCGAGGACTGAGAGACCTAGTAGAGGACCTGCTGGGGTCAGTTTTCGTGTAGCCGCCAAGCGTATACCTGAAACAGCAAAAGAAGAGGGACAAAATTACAGCACCGAGAGGACAAGCAGGAAATGAGGAGCCTCGGCCTTCAACATAAGTCTGTATATTATAAGCAACTAGCCAGATAACTACATGAGCCGAATGCAAAATCAAAATGCAGGGTAAGGGAATCGTAGCGTTTGGAGCTTACCAAACACGGACGAGAAAAGAAAGGCACCGCCAAATCCAAGTGAGTAACCAATTGATTTCGTCTCTGGTGCTTGCATAAGATAGAAAGCCTGCATGAGAAACAACATAAGATGTATTGTTTTTAATTAGTCACATCAGTTAGTGACTATCAAGGACTTAGATGAAGAGTTTCGAAAGGCACTATTAACTGGATTTCTATTTCCGCTCATTCAGACATCAAGAAGGTATTCAAATGACGGGCTATCAGTGTTGCTATCGTCCTTTTAGTCAGTCCCCTAATGCATGTGAAGCAAGAAAGCCACACATTAAAGTACATGTGACGTGCATATTTGGTTTCTCTGAGAAGGTTTTCTTAAGTAGTAAAGCTTTAGGACAAGGTCTTTGCCGGGACAAGGGCTAGAACAAGGGGAAGTAAGACAGAATTGAAGTGGCACTAGAGAAACTTCAGAGTTCACCAGATATCCTTAATTTCTTCAGAATTATAGAGAATCAATGCAATGCAATTTTACTAATTCTACTCCTAAGGCTAGAGCACATATCAGACAGCGTGCTGCCAAGAAACCATTGTAGCTTAAGCCTTATTGAGCCGTCTTCTTGGTGAAATTAGAATTTATTGATGACAGCCTCACGAACAATAAAATAATGTAACAGAAATAAAGTAAAAGAGGCACTGCTTAGGGGACTTTCCTCAAAACCCTTTCCTTCAGGCATCTAAAAAATTGCACATGTTATGCATTAATTTGCAGTTCAGCCATACAACTTATTTAAAAAATGAAAAATTTCACACAAGCTTAAACTGAAAAAGGAAGAGAATGGCAACCTTTTCCTTCACCATAATACTAAAATTGTTCCAAATGAATCCTCATATAAAAGAGGAATAAATTCGAATGTTGTGAAAGCTGTGAAGAAGAACTCCTATCATTAGTTCTCCATAGAATTAAGATGCAACCTTTCACTTCTCCTCCAAACTACAACCTAAGTAAACTAGTTCTGCAGAATGCTCCAGAATCTCAGAGTGAACTCTGTAGCGTTTCAAACTATTTAAAGGCAAGGTTAACAAGATAACTACAGAAGAACTGAAAAGGTACTCTTCTAGAGAGTAGTCAATTGCATCCAACAGTGGTAATGTGTAATCATAATTAATGATATCTCATTGACCACCAAGTTCATCACAAAGGATTTGTGTGGGTGTGTCTTTAAAACCACAAGAGCAGGACCAACCTAGCTTAAATGACTAGCAAATACCTCTATTACCAGTGAATCAGACAGAAGTACATAAACAAACTAAATAAAGAAGGACATCGGTAACCATATTAAACGTGAACAGAATCTAATCTGAAGTGAATTGAGACAGATCTAGTGCCTGAAAATCCTGAAGCATGGAGTTTGATCATTCGATGTATGCAGCCAGTAGACTCTTCCTTTGAAAGCTAATGGCCAAAGGGCAATTTTTCCAGAATAAGTATATGGTGCAGGATATTGTTTTTGTTTGATGACAGAGACAAATCGCATGAAAGTTAGACAGCAACTTTTGATCCCTCGATAACTTTAAAAGCAGTTGATCAGTCTCTCCTCCAAAGAGGCACTGAGTCTCATAAAAATTTTTAAATTCTTCTTCATACTCTAATTACTATTAAAAATCAGAGCTAGATTTTCTATTGCTTCTCCAAACCTTGATTTTCTATGGGGAAATAACATCCACTTGTTTCTGCGAATATCTCATGCTACCCAGATATAAGTTTGATGCCCAAATGCGAAATTCACTCTGCTAATATATCTACTATGCAATAACAATCCATCATTCAGAGGTAAACATGGATACATCTTAGGTTCTGATATTGGACAGACAAACAAAGTGGGTGAAAATAGCACCTGCAGGAGAAAATTTTTGAAGGGATTGAGCAGCTAATGCTTGCTGAATAACAACGTCATTGGACCAAAAAAAGTTCAAAAGGGAAAAGCAGTTGACGCTGATGCAAAACTAGGTTAATCGACAAGACTGCACTCCTTCAATGTTTATCCAAATGTTTCGGGGGGCTGGGGTAGGCCATAGAACACCAGGTACTCGATGAAGTGCAATTTCACCCAACAAAATGTTCAGGATTTTTCCTTACTCACCCCCAATCCCACCCTTAAAATTCTGTCTCCGCCATTGTCTCCCTATATGTCCATAACATACACCCACAATTGCTACTTTCTAGCAGGACTGCCAAGTCCCCTCAAGGTTTCAGATCCTCCTCTGAACAAAACTACATGAACGGGATCAACCCTTCTTTTGTGGGATTCCCTTAACCAAGTCCCACTTTCTACTCTAGAATGATACCAAGAAGCCCCAGAGAAGTACCAAATCTCTTCTTTCACTTTCATAGCAGGACATTTGGTCCATCGTGTCTTTAAGTAGCTAAACATCACAAATTTATCCAGAAAAGGAGGAAAGAATTCGAAAATTCAACAAAACAGATAAATTAGAGATAATTCCACTCACAGTGGCCATTAGAACTGCCCCAGTGCACCCTCCAGCAAGTGAGCCCTTGCTTCCTGACCTGCTAACTGCACCCACAAATTTCCCCAAACTTCACTTCTCATCGCAAACACGTCATCACTTATATCACCATTAAACTACCCATCAAAAGAACAAAAATAAAAAGGTGCATATCGGAATCAACGTGAACGAGCAATTGCCAAAGAAGAGAAGAGATTTGAGTACAGGCAAAGAGGCCGCCGCCGAGAAGAAGAGACCCGTAAACGGCGGAGGTGACGGGAGCGAGGTCACCCAGCTGGGCCTTGCACCGGAAACGGCGTCGCCCGTGGCCGGGCAATTCGCTCAGCCTCAGCCCCGAGCCGACGCCAGGCCTCCGCCCCAGCGGTGCCGCAGCGCGACCATCGAGACGGCAGGCGGCAGGGCGATCGGGGCGACGGTGGTTCGAGCGGCGGGAGCGTGGGACGACTGGTGGCGGTTCGAGCGGGAATGCAGGCGGCGACAGCGAGAATGACATCTTCTTCTGGTTCGGACACTGCCGGAGGAAGCGAGGCGAAAGGGAGGGATGCTGAGGAAGATAAACGGGTGTATAATCGGTGGATGACGACGGGGAAAATTCCAAGAATCCTCGCGAACGAGTGTGTCTGCGTCTCAATGCTTCACTTCGACGTGAATTTTTCTGACCGGATCAGAGTCGGTTAGGGTGCGAATGATAACCATTCTGCTCAGAAATCAAATTCTTGCCAGAAATTGATTTCCGGAGAAAAAATCTGTTTGGTAAAACATGATTAATTCTGCTCTAGAAATTGATTTCTGGAACAGAAATCTGTTTTGATTTGTTGATATTTTTTGCACCTAAAAAAATTTAAATTTTACTCAAAGTAGGTGGTCACATGTATTATAAGCCATTCTGTAAAGTTTTGAAATTTTTGATTTTTTTTAATTTTTTTGGGCACCTACAAAAATTTAAATTTCACTCAAAATGAGTGCCAACAGGTATTCTAAGCCATTTTGTGAAGTTTTGAATTTTTTTATTTTTTTTTTTTTGGCACCTCAAAAATTTAAATTTTACTCAAAGTGGTGGCTACAGATATTTTAAGCTATTCTCGTGAAGTTTTGAAATTTTTTTTTTTTTAGCACCTCAAAAATTTAAATTTCACTTCAAGTGGATGGCCGGGTATTTTAAGCCATTTTGTGAAGTTTTGAAAATTTTTATTTTTTTTTTTTTTTATTTTTTTGGCACCTCAAAAAATTTAAATTTCACTCAAAGTAGGTGGCCACATGTATTTTAAGCCATTTTGTGAAGTTTTGAAATTTTTGATTTTTTTTTGGCACCTCAAAAAAATTAAATTTCACTCAAAGTGGGTGGCCACATGTGTTTTAAGCTATTCTGTGAAGTTTTAAAAATTTTTATTTTTTTTTATTTTAAAAAAAAATTTACCAAATTTCATATTTTCCTAAAATTTGATTTTTTTTTGGCACTGGAAATTTTTATGAATTTTTCTAGAATTTTTCAATTTTTATGCATTTTCTGAAAAAAAAATTGTGAGAAAATAGGGAGAATGCATTCCGGAATCAAGAAGTAACTTCTTTTTTTCTTGCCAAAAACTCATTCTGGAATCAAAAATGCATTCTGGAATCAAGAATGCATTCTGAAATCAAGTATTTTTAACAAACGCATTTTTATTCCAGAATGCAAAAATCAATCCAGAATGCATTCCGGAAATTTTTTAACAAATGCCGTTCTGTTCCGGAATGCATTCTATGCGCACCCTTAGAAACCTATGGAAACTGGGAAGGGCAATTGGATCCTCTCCCTAGTTGGGTCTTGCGACGACAAAATCTCTAGACTTGGGAGTACTTTGTTTAGGCAAAACCGCAACCTAGTACGATGTTCAAAATTGCAAACACCGGATCACAAAAGTGGGTGTTGGCCTAGTGGTAAAAGCAGGTTATATAATAAATGAATTATATATACGTCACTTTCAATTTGAAGAGTTTATGAAAATATAAAGACTAAAATAAATGGGTCTAAATGGTTTGGGATTGAGTTTGAAACCCATTTCCGACCCATTAGGCTCACATTCATTTTCTCCCTCTTTAGCCTTATAAAAAAAAATTTAAGTCGAAATTAGAATTATTCTTTCTTTTTCTTCTTTTATTTCTTTTTTCTCCTTCTTCATCGACCAATGGCTAGCCAAGCGACGGCCGGCGATCGGCCAAAGGCGAGGGATGAGCTCGCCAAAGGCTAGCGAAGCTCGAGCTTGCTAGCCTTGGGTGAGTTCAACCTCGTCGGATCTAATGAGGCTCTACTTGTCGGAATCGACCGAGCTCGAGTCTCGCCTGAGGTCGGCGAAGCTTGCCGGCCTCCGGTGAGCTTGTTCCTTGCCTATGGCCGATCGCGCGACCACCAACCGAAAATGAAAGTAAAAAGAAGAAGAAAAGAAGAGAAAAATAAAATAATTAAAATTCAATTTTTAAAAAAATAAAAAGAAGAACAAAAAATTGTTAAAAAGAGTGCAAGAAAGAAATACCAAACGACGGAAAATATTTTCTAGTTAATTTTCAGCTTTCAACCAAACACCAGAAATATTGTTATTTTTCATTGGAAAACATTTTCTAGAAATGTCACATTTTCCGCAAAACAAACGTAACCTCAATTTATAAAAAATTATAAAAATTGTCCATAAGATTTGTATTGCATGGAAATATTTTAGCAATATAATTTTTTTTTAAATCATAAGAAACAATTTTTCCTATATTGAGTTAAATATGGAAGTGTTCTAGTAATATAAGTTGGGTAGGGTATGAATTTGGTATGGGTCAAGAAATTTACATTACGAATAAATTGATCAATTTGGATTAGATCATTTATGACTCGACTCTACCCGTTTGACGAGTCTATAAAACGGTCACTTGCTTTTTCTTTTTTAACAGGATCACGAGTTCGATTCAAGTCGTAAGTGAAGACTGTAACAACGGACCTTGCCAACTTCGAACCTCTGAGTCGCAAACGGTGCGAAATAAATATGACTCGAACCGAACATTATACAAAGGCTACATGATCCTTACGAAGACAACCAGAGGGATTTGCTAATATGCGAGCCGACCTTTCCACCCTTAAAATATTAATTATAAATGAACACATGGTATGCGTTGGTCTATGATGAAAAATGTGACAGGCCCATGAACTTCCACCAGTTTAGCCAACAAGGCTGCGAATGGTAACCATTCTGTTTCTCTATTTCTGTTCCAGAAATAGGTTTGGAACAGAAATCTGTTTGGTAACGAAATTCCAATTTCTATTTCTGGAATAAATTTTTGTTCCAGAAATAGGTTTGGAACAGAAATCAGAAGTTAAAATTTTTAGGTCTGTTTAGTAACGTTTGTTTTTTTGTTTTTCTGTTCTTTTGTTCCGACAGAAAAGAAGCAAATCCGTTTAGTAAAAAAATCTATTTTTTTGTTTCTCGCTCCAAAAAAGTGTTCGAAATAGATTTGGAAGAAACAAGAAGCAAAAAAATATGCTTCTCGTTTACGGAACAAGAAAAAGAAACGATTTTTTTCTAGAATTCTCTAAAAATAAGAAACAATCCATCGGCCGCAATCCGCCCACCGCCGCCTCTCACCGTCCTTCGCCGCCACCTACCCCGCCTTCGCCGCCACCGCCGCCGCCCGCCGGCCCAACGCCCGCGCCGCGCTCCCGCCCGCCGCCGCCTCTTGTCATCGACCATCGTTCTCCACCGCTCGACGCTTGCGATCACCCACCACCGGTCACCGTCCTTGGCCGCCGCTGGCCACCCACCACCGGTCACCGTCCTCCGCTACCGTCACCACCGCCCGATGCCACCGTGCTCCACTACCTCCCATCGCCGGCCGCCATCCTCTGCCGCCGCCGACCACCGTCCTCCGCCCCCCACCGCCCCCCACCGCCACCCGCCGTCCTCCGCCGGTAGCCTAGAAGGGAGAAACTCGTCCATGGAATAGAAATGGATCATTCGCACCTAAACGCGTTTCTATTCTTTTTCTATTTCGGGAATAGAAATTTTGTGTAGTTACTAAACGCTATTTTTGGTCGAAATGTTCCAAGAAATAGAAATAGAAAAAACTATTTCTGATAAAAAATTGTTTCTAGGAACAGAAACGTTGCTATGCAGACCCTTAGCTTCTCTATTTCTGGAACAGAAATGAGAAACAAAGTTTTTTTGTTCTTCTTATCACTTTCCCTCACTACTAGCCATTTGCTCACCCGCCGCCCATCGCCGGCCGCCGTCGCCCACCGACCGCCGCTACCCGTCGCTGGTCGCCGCCGCCGACCACCGTCTCTTGCCGCCGCCTACCCTCCTCCCCCTACCGGCAGCCTACGGTCGCCACCCACCACCAACCACCATCTCTCGCTGCCACCCGCCTCCCACCCCCGGCCTCCCTCCTTCAGCCACCGCCGCCCGCCTTTGGCCTCCGCCCACCTCCCACCGCCGGCCACCGTGGGCCGCCGGCCGCCACCGTCTCCTGCCGCCACCCGCCTTCCACTCACGGCCTCTCTCCTCCCGCCACCGCCGCCCACCTCTCTCCTCCCGCCACCGCCGGCCGTCGTCCACCGGCCACCATCTCCCACCATTGATCGCCCTCCTCCCACCGCCGCCCGCCGTGGGCCGCCGCCCGCCGTCCACCGACCACGATCTCTCGCCAGCCGCCGTGGGCTGCCGTCCACCGGCCACCGTCTCCCGTCGCCGGTCGCCCTCTTTTAAACGCCACCCACCTCCCATCGCCGGCCACCGTTGGCTACCGCCTGCCGTCCATCGGCCACCATCTCCTACCGTCGGCCATCGTCCTCCCGCTGCCGCCCGCCTCCCACCACCGGCCACCGTCTCCCGCCGCCACCCGCCCTCCTCCCGCCACCATCCACCGCCCGCCGACCACCCGAGAAGAAGAAATTTTGTGCCGTTATCAAACAAATTTCTGTTTCTGGAACAGAAATTTTGTGTCGTTATCAAACGTATTTTTTTGCTAAGAAACTCCTCCAGAAACAGAAATACAAAAATCAATTTCTGGCCAGAAATTGATTTCTGAAACAGAATGGTTACCATTCGCAGCCCAACTCTCTGTCTCTCCACACACATCTTTTCCCCTCTGTCCACATCGCTAAAGTAATGGCCGCCACTATCTTCTTCACTCATTTTCGCCCCTCTCTCTCCACGTGCTTTGCACTTAGCTCGAATGATCGGAAAAAGTCTTTCCTATAAAAACTTATAAATACATCATTCAAATTTCGACAAAAAGCCATAAAAAAATCCCAAATCATACGCATTATGACACATTTACTCTAAATTTTTTTATGACACCAAAATTCTCAAATTTGTACTCGTGTAACACATTTACCCACGTGGCTACATGGACAAACGGTTAAAAATATAATTATATGAACGTCATAAAGTAAACAGTGTTGACATGACACCCACGTGACTTAAGTAAAATAAAAATAACGTTGTTTTGGCCGAAAAATCATTTAGTGGATCCTTGACGGAATAGTATTTCATAAGAAAAAGTTTAGAGTAAATGTATCACAGTATACATAACTTAGGGATGTCACAGCGGGTCTAATTTGATATTTTTAGTGGCTTTTTCCTTTCCAATTTAAAAAAATTGTAAAAAATCGTATGTAAATTTACATGTCAATATAATTATGTTTGTTAAAGGGTTTCGAGTATTCCATAGTAAGAAAAAAAAGGTCAAAATGCACATGTCACGTAACAAAAGAGAAGCTTTCCATCAGAACGAAGAGGAGACCGCCGGTCAACCGGCAACAGCTTCAAAACTTAGTATTAGAAAAATAAGACATTATTTAGTGTTTGCCCATTAAATTGTCTAGATACGTTCTTTCCCATTCCATTCTCTCGCTTGCATCTAAAATTTTTTTTGGAAGATAACAATATGTTAAGTTGAATTGGTCTCGCTCTTATAATACATTTACTTGGTTCTTCAGTTATTCAGAATAAGAACATCACAACTTCACAAGCGCTGCAACTTTTTTTATTTATTACTTGAGCGCCACATTTGTTAAAAATCGTTTATTGAAGTATTGTCGGCGATTTGTGTGGCGTTAATTTAACATAAACCGTATGATGTGGCTCGCTGGCAAAATGAGTCATTAAAATATTGCACAAACGACCCATTTGTTTGTCCCTAATTAAAAAAATTGGGGCTAAATTAGATGTGTTTTCAAACCCTAATCCCAGTTCCTCGAGTTGGGGAAAAAAATATGTGAAGGGAGAAGCGGTTTTAAATCTGTGAAAGGGAAGCAGCTCACTATTTGTGCAAGAGAAGCGGCTCCTGATTTGTGAACATTATTTTTATGGGAAAATGATACAAACAGTCCCTGAACTTTAACTCAATGTACAATTTGATTCTTGAATTTTTAATTTGTTCAATATAGTCCCTAAACTTTTACCCAATATTCAATGTGGTCCATGAACTTTCAATTTGTTCAATGTGATTCTTGAACTTTTGGTACATGTTCAATATAATCCCTGAATTTTATAAATTCAAGTTTAGAGACTATATTGTACATTTTCATATAGTTCAGGGACTAAATTGAACATGTACCAAAAGTTCAGATACCACATTCAACAAATTGAAAATTCATGGATTACATTGGGCCCAATTCCCTAAAAAACCCCCAACTTTAGCCTTTGTCCCAATTATATCCCAAACTTTTTTTTGTCTCATAAAAAACCTCAAACTTTTACTTTTGTCCCAAATCTACCCAGTTAACTTTTCGTCCAATTTTTTAATATTATTTTTTATTTTTTCGAATTTTTTTATTTTTTCTTTTCTTTTCTTTTTCCTTTCCTTTTCTTTTTTTTTTTGTTTCACCTTCTGGCCTGCGCGGCTCGGCCCCGCCGGCCGCTGGCGAGGCTCGGCCCCCCCGGCGTTGGGCGAGGCCGACTTCACCAATAGCCGGCGGGGCTGAGCCTCGCCGGTGGTGGTGAGGCTCGGCCATGCCGGCCGGGGCGAGGCTCGGCCTCGCGTGGATTCTTTGGGCGAGCCGACCTCTCCAGCGGCCGGCGGGGCCGACCTCGCCAATAGCCGGTGGGGTCGGCCTCGCCAAAGGCCGGCGTGGCCGAGTTCTCGCCAGATCTGGCGAGGCTTGGCCCCGCCGCACCGGCGCGAGTCGGCTCGCCCGCCAAGAACGGCGAGGTCGGCCGAGGTTGAACCGCCGTTGCTAGGCGAGGCCGACCTCGCCCGGATCTGGCGAGAACTCGGCCACGCCGGCCGCGGCAGCGGCTCGGCCCGCGGCGTTGGGCTCGGCCGACCTCGCCAATAGCCGGCAGGCCGAGCCTCGCCGTGGCCGGCGGGAGGCGCTCTCGGCCCGCCGGGGCGCGAGGTCGGCCTCGCCTAGCAACGGCAAGCGAGCCTCGCCGGCGGCGGCGGCGAGCCTCGCCGGCGGCAGCCGAGCCTCGCCGGCCACGAGGCTCGCCTGCCATTGGCGAGGCGGCCTCGCCCAACGCCGGCGGGCCGAGCCTCTCCGGCCGGCCGGCGGGGCCAAGCCTCTCCAGGCCCGGGGCCGAGCCTCGCCGCCCCACCTCGGCGGTCGCCGACCAATGACCTACCAAAAGGTGAAACAAAAAAGAAAGAAAAGGAAAGGAAAAAGAAAAGAAAAAAAAATAAAATAAAATTCGAAAACATAAAAAATAATATTAAAAAATTGGACGAAAAGTTAACTGGGTAGATTTGGGACAAAAGTAAAAGTTTGGGGTTTTTTATGAGACAAAAAAAAGTTTGGGATATAATTGGGACAAAGGCTAAAGTTGGGGGTTTTTTAGGGAATTGGGCTGATTACATTGAATATTGGATTAAAGTTCGGGACTACATTGAACAAATTAAAAGTTCAAGAACCAAATTGCATACTGGATCAAAGTTCAGGGACCGTTTGTGTCATTATCCCTATTTTTATTGAAGCAATTGCATGAACACTTACATTGAAGCGACTCCCGTTTGGCTATAAAAAAATTCAACCGAGACAATTGCACCAGAACCAAAGCAGCTTTCTCATCTTCGACCCTTAAATTTCAAACGTTTAAACTTGCATATTTGTTTTTTTTAAATAATTTTAGATAGTTCTTTAAGGGTGCGTTTGATTCAGCTTTTCTAAATGCTAGGATATTTTAGCAAGCCTTCCCAAGGGGCTTTCAGCCAAATGCCGGCATTGGAAAAACTGAAAGCCCAATGCTGGTAGCATTGCGCTTACAGAATTTGGCCGAATGCCGAAACTAGTTTTTTCTTTCCAAAACCATCCTCACCAATTCTTTAATTTTTCAATTTTACCCCTCGTTGTTACTGTTCATCACCTTTGCACGAGGGCAGTTGGCGAGGAGCTAACGAGGTTGCGCGACCCAGGCGACCGTTGCTTAAGGTCGCACAACTGCCTAAGTGATGGTGGCCTAGGTCGCGTGACCCCAAGTAGCCGGTTGCACAACGGCCGCTGACACCAAATCGGCTCACCGACGACTTTAGCCTTTCACCGGAGCAGGCGAAGGGTTTGATTTTTTTAATAAAAAAAGAAAAATTAAACTCAAAAGCCCTTTGCAAAATTTTTTTTTATCAAATACTATTTAGGCCAAAATAGCTTTACAAAAGATTTTTTACCAAACGCAATTTACATTTCCCCCAAGGGGTTTTAGGCCAAAGGCATTTGTATTTCCCAAAAGCCCATTTGCAAAGCCAAACCAAATGCAAAGTACTGTAGCCTGTTCGAGCCAATTTAGGTCAAAGCATTTTCGACTCTAAAATGTGGATCAACCTGAATGAAAACTTTAAGCACCATAAAGACTTAGCCGGGTCTTACTCGGGCTCAAAAAGCGAGGAGGCGATCGGGATTTCAGCCCTTCCGGGTTCTTTTTTGCACACTCGGCATCCACCGCTTTTGCCCCTCTCATGACCCACCATTTCGAGATCCATTCGTAGTATTATCACTAACTAATCAAGTTTTTTTTTTATTACCGCAACCCTCCAACGATATATAAATGCACATGCTTTAACAAACGAGAATGTTCGACTAATCTAATAAGGTACCACATCAAGATATCATGTAGAATAAGGATAACATACTTACCTTATCCACACAGTGATATCTAAAACTATTCTGAATCCCACCAAATTCTTTTTCCCACACTTTGCTTATCGCGGAATCCTTGCGGGAATCTCACACGCACATGCATGTACATAGCCCATGTGGGAATTCAAAGAAGGAAGTCACAGAAGAGGACGGACGCATCCGCACGCACGTAGGAACTGCTGGCTTTGATCTGTTGACCAGCGACGGGGGACGTCGATTAGAGAAAACTAACATCAGTCGCTATCGCAATAACCCTAAAAAGAGAAACGAAAAGCAACGTTGCTTTTGCAACTGATTGAAGTTATCATTTCATGGCCATGATGGCTACTGCTACTGGTTAAGAACGTGGAGGAAAGTTGCAGAGTCGCCATCATCATTTGCTCCCCCGATGCAACCCCCAAAATGAATGCAAACCAATAAAAATGGGTGATAAAGATTCAAAAGAAAAAGACAACCAAAGCAGAAACGGAGGAGGAGGAGCTTGAGCTGAAAGCCACAAGACATCAGTAGCAACTTCTTGAAGCCTTTTCAGGTTCCAATGGAAGGCATGTACAAGCGACCCACAACATGTACAAAAAATGGTGGCTTTCGAGTTTCAACCAACACGGCTACTTTGGCTATCAACTACAAACGTCCAAAAGCAAAAAAAGAAAAAATGGAATTACTTGATTGTACTAACAAAATTACAAAATTATACAATCTCTACACCAGAAACAACCATCTAGATACGTCTTATCAAGCACCTACCTACTCTTTTTGTCCTAAACCATCAAGTTCTCAAACTCTTCTTCTCTGGGCCCGGCTTCAACGCCACCGACGGGATCCTCTCCCTGAAAAACTCCAAGACGCGCGTCGCCGAGGGCCGCAGCGTGTGCGACTGCTGCATACACGATCTCGCTACCCCGACCATGGCCTTGACCTCCTCTATCTCGAATTCCCCGCTCAACCGCGGATCCACCATCTCTGCCGCTCTCGCCACGTCGAGCTCGCCTTCTTCCTGAAGCAAAGTCGTGGCCATTGACGTCAGCAAAAGCCCTCTCTCCTCACAGAAGGCCTCGATCCCTGTGACCAGCTCGAGGACTACGACCCCGTAGCTATAGATGTCGTTCTTCTTCGACGCGATCCCTGTCCTGAGGTAGTGAGGGTCCGTGTACCCGGGGGATCCCATCATGATCTGCTTCGCCCGTGGGGAGGACGAGGAGGAAGGCGGCAGGATTAAAGACGAGAACCCCATCTTCGCGGACCCGAAGTCACAGAGCTTGCAATTGAGGTCCTCGTCGAGCAACACATTGGACGACTTGACATCGCCGTGAACGATTTGGAGCGCGCATTTCTCGTGCAGGTGCTCAATCGCCTGTGCGAGTTGGAAGGCCATCAACACCCGGTGGCTCCAAGGGAGGACGGTGCCTCTCTGTAGATGGTTGCCGTGAAGCTTCTCTTGGAGATTTCCATTGGGGATGTATTCAAACACCAGTGCTCCTTCATCTTGGGGGGAAAAGCAGTACACAAACGAAATCAGTAAACTATTTCAAGGAAGAGAAATTTAAAATATAGCATATAGATTATGCTTTGTGAGGATCTTTTTATTGCTGAAAAATTCGAAAATTCCGAGAGAAAAGTGATTGCATTTAGAGTTCCTCGTATAACCATACATCAAAATCTGAGCACAACATCATGTACAGCACAGGTTCAAACAAACAAACAAGCATGGATCATCAGCAGTTCAAGGATACCAAACAGAAATGACAAAATTTATGAAACCAAAGTTGCTTTTAGTCCACCTACCTACGCACCACTGAGCATTTTAAATGCTTCCCAAAGAACCACATGCAATGCGCTGAAAAGCCGAGCTCTTTACACAGAATTTCATGTAACTCTAACTTAACAGGCTAATTACCAATAAAAAAGAACCTCAATTTGCTAACTCTGGCAGAAAGTAAACAACTCAATATGCTCACACAAGTCACTGTGCATTCACACAAAAACTAAATGATAATTTCCAGATTACTGGAAAACAGAAAACAAGAAAATGTACACAGCTGAAAGAAAAGGATAGCCCATAATACTGAAAAAAAATCGATTTTTTAATTAAAAAATCGTTAAATTCGAGCTTGTTTCTTGTTTCAAGAAAATTCAGATTCGTGAATGAGTTGATCTTTTCCCCCTCCGAAGCAAACAACAGCAAGAAATGAAAAGAAGCTTCACACCCACCTCTGTCGTCGCAGTATCCGAGAAGCCTCACGATGTTCTCATGGCGGACGCGGAGCAGAATCTCCAGCTCCTGCTTGAACGCCAAGCTCAGCCGCTCGCCACCGCCGCACTGGACCTTGACCGCCGCGAGGCCAGACTCGGAGGAGCCGTCCAAGGTGGCCAAGTAGACGGTGCTGAACCCGCCGGATCCGATCGCCCGCGAGAACTCCGTCGTCATCCCCTGCAGCTCCTCCCACCTGTACCTCCTCGCGCAGCACCCATCTCCGCCGTCGCCTTTGCCAGCCCCGCTCTTCCCAACGACACCGTTCCCAACGTCGCCGCGTTCTTGATCTTCGGCGCCGACGACGACGGCTCCGTTGGATCTGCGGCGGAGCCAGAGATGGAGGAGCTTGAGGACGCCCATCGCGAGGCCCAGGCCGAGGAGAGAGAAGACGGCGATGAGAGGGGCAGCGACTCGCGGGTCGAAGTGGGCTTCGTTTCTTGACGGCGCTTCGGGGGTGTCGGTGCCGAAGGTGGTGGTGGGCTGAAGAGAGAGGAGGAACAAGAAAATGGCGGAGGAGGAGGTGGGCCAGGAGGGGGAGCAGGAACGACCGCTGAGAAAGAGACCACGACGCCGTCTTGGCAAATACGGGTCCTGCTCAACGACCGCCTCCTTGGCCGGGTCGTCGTCGGCGACGGCGGCGGTGGAGAGAGGAGCCATGGAGGAGGAGGAGGAGGCAGAATCAGACACCGAGGGGGGAGCGTCTAAGTCTGATTCTGCTCCTATGGAGAGAGGGTTGAAGGTCAAGCTTCCATGGCTTTTACTTCTTCAAAGAGAGAGAGAGAGAGAGAGAGAGAGAGGGGGAGGGGAGGAGAGAGAGGGATTTATATAAGCTTTTCTTGAAAAATGGATAAACGAATGATGCATATGAAGGTTTAGTTACGAGAGTTTGGGGAGCTAAATCAAATTTGAAAAATATTTTCTTAAAAATCGACTGCGACTGCTTATATTGCTGACAAGAATGGTTGAATGAAAAATATTTTTACAATTTCACAAAAATATTGATAGCCTTCATACGGCTCGACCGGGCATCTATTCGCTCTAGTAACACCTGCAGATGGACCAACATCCTTGTACTAAGGCATTGGAATTAGGAAATAGCATTTATCCCAAGATAGCGGTAGCAAGTGTTCTGTGGAGGTTAGGAGATCAAATTTGAAAAATATTTTCTTAAAAATCGATCACATCGCTTATATTGCGACAAGAATGGTTGAATGAAAATATTTTTACGGTTTCACAAAAATATTTGGATGTAAATTATTGTTGACTATAAAAATATATTCCTTTGACTAATCATTTCAAGCTGTATAAGTAATTAATTTTAGGAAATATTTTCAAAATCATTTATTTTTTTGCGAAACAAACGGAATCTTAATCCATAAAAACAATGAATGAGTTACTTATTTGATGGATGAAATATGTGTAGGGCGATATTAGGAGTGCACATTGCTCTTAGTCCCGGTCCCACTCGAGAATCGGATCGAACTGAACTGGGCAGTTCTGGGTGTTTCTAAGGAGACCCAATTTCACATAAGGAACCTGATCAACTGGACCACCTGGACCAGACCGACAAAGCGGCCGAGATTCTTTAATCTTTTGCTATTTTTATTTTGAAGCAAACCCTTATGGTTAATTTTTTTTTTCTTTTACCGTTGGTAAACTCCCACTTGTGAGGAACAGAATAAACGAAAAAATAAAGAAGGAATCAACAGTTTGGAGACCGATTTTGAAACCGGACCAAACTGGTCGGTCGGGTCCAAGACCGGGTGGGCTAGTTTCCAATTCCACAAATAGGGAACCGATCTTGCCCGGTCCGGCTTTAGGTTCCAAGGTAAGAATCAACCCATCTTGAAAATCGATCAACCCCTATGAAATATGTATTACATATTGAAGGCTTGAGAAAGAAAGCAAGTGGTCTCTATGGAATGAAAAATCACTAGATATCAAGTAGCTGGAGAAGTTATTATCATTATGGACGATTGTCGTTTTGCAGAGTTTTGATGTAGAAACGAGTTATTACTTTAATAGATTATTAATTAACACGGTTGTTAAATCACTAATTATGGCATTCCGTGTGGCGAGGATTGTGCACTCCTTTCCCAATGGCAACATCGTGCCGACACCTTTGATAAAACGCGCCCCTTCTCATGTGGACGACTTCGACCCTTTTGGGAACTTAGTTTCTCTCCTTATTGCTTCTCCCTTTCGGAGGGACTTTTAAGTTATGCTTGGTTTTGTGAAAAATGAATGATAAAAACGATTGTCTATATCGCTTACAAGAGTGAATAATAAAAAATGTTTTCATCGTTCACGAAAAACTTTGAATGTAAATTGTTATCGATGATAGAAACATTTTTCATTAGTTAATATTATTTCAAGCGATTATTTTTAGGAAGACGTTTTCTAAGCCATTCAATTTCCACGAAACAAAATGAGCCTAATAAATTTATGAACTGTCGGACTACACGCAATACGAACGCTACAATCTGATTTGAAAAATCATCGGACCCACATTTAATCACATCACCAATGGGCATTGTTACTTCAGACCAAGGGAAAGGGGGGTGCCTCTTCTCATGAACCGAAAGATGGAGAAGGAGAAAAGAGGGCAAAGGGGGGCGCAATAAAGAAGAGGAAAGAACTTGGAAGAGAAATTATATCAGAAGGGCAATAAAAGCGAAATGTGAATGTGAATGTGAATGTGAATGATGCCTTCGCAAATGAGCCAAAAAATTGAAAAAGCACAAAAGAGGGGGGGGTGGGATTCAATGGTTGGTGCCATAAATGCCGAATGGGATCGAGTGCGTGTTTTGCCAAAATCTACACGGCAACTGCCCCCAAAATTTAAAGAATGAAATTCGCTGTTCACAAAGTCCTTCGGCTCGAGAAAACGTGGCCTCGTGCTCCGGCCCCAAAGTCAAGTCCACCGTCTTCAAATTCATTAAAGCAACGTTGAATTTATATTTCGAATCCTTAGGATCATTATATATAAGGATAACGACACAAACAGTCTCGTATGATCCCTGAACTTTTAATTTGTTCAATGTCGTATCTGAACTTTTGGTACATGTTCGATGTAGTATCAAACTATACGAAAATATTCAATGTAATTCATGAACTTGAATTAATGGGGGGGACTATATTAAACAATTGAACATGTATCAAAATTCCGGGGACGATATTAAACAAATTAAAAGTTCAAGGACCGCATTGCACATCGAGTCAAAGTTTATAAACTGTTTGTATTATTTTCTCTTTTGTATACGATGAGAAGACTGACCCTAGCACCCCTCTATTCATTGCTGGGTCGGTTTGGACAAATGGGTCGGGGGCCACTTATGAAGGGGGTAGTAGTTGCGCCGAGAACTTTCACGTTTGTGTGTTGGCTCGGCAAGATTTGAATGTGGTTGTCCAAGGTGGACGAGGACGTGAACAGCGAAGCGTGAGAACTCGGGGAACCAAGGGACGGCTGTTTGACATTTAAGTTTTTGGGGACCGTCAGGAAATGAACCGCATTGGGCGCTGGGTCGGTTTCAGAATTCGGCGCTGTCGTAAAGGCTCCAGTCGTACCGGGACGCGGAAGTAGAGCAGATCCGGATTGCAGGAGGGAGGTTTTGCTCGAGGTGGTAAGCGTGTTTGCTCGAGCTTGCACCGTCTTTCGATGTTCACGTTTAAGAGGATGGACCTGTGTGTTCGAGTCACTGTTATAAGTGCGTGTGTGCACGCGTGGGACGGTACGGCTTCTCGATTAATTAGGCTCTAGCTAGTAATCAATTGATTTGTGTCGGTTCTGAATGATATGCGTTTATGCCTCTCGAACGTAAGATCTCATATTCTGTTATTGTTCTAGATTACAACATTTTCTCAAGTCTCTCGTTGCTACGGGGATGACATGCCTTCGTTCAAACGAGGAAGGCGAATCTAGTTTGATGTGAATGCAACCCGAGATATCATCTAGTGACAAACATAAAAAGGGGGCTATATAGACAAGTCCCTTGGTAATATATTCCTAATAATTAACACTTCAATCGCTAATAGGAATTTAATTAGTCATTTGGAATTCAGACACTTTCGTTTTTGTTTTGTTACCCAATAAATGATTTGAAGATTGCTCGTCAGTAGAACCCTCATAAGTGCTCCTGTTACATGAATACTCCATGTCACATGAGCATACAAACATACGTACTTGGACAAATGAGCTTTCTTCTCCCTGCCATGTCATGACCAACCGTCGTGCACAAAACTAATGCTAGCTTGAATCATGTGGAAAGAGGAAGGGAAGGGAAAGCCTGCCCATTTAATAACCAAATGCAATCAATCTATGCTTTATCCAAGTTGGGTTAATTAATCTAATGCCGTCGCTAAAACAAACCATCGTGCAACAAAACTCCAGGATAACCAACGTGGGAATGTCCACACGTTTTGATTTCTTCAACTACGAGCAAAACATCAACAGCAATGTAGCGGTTGGCAAGAAGCCAATGCTGTCTGCCAGTATGAACGAGGGGCACACCAGTGAAAAAGGTCTGCAGAATCCAGCCGGGCATGCCGTCGCGATCACGAAGGTCATGGGGGCAGGTTCGTGTGGGGCTCGTTTCGCAGCCGGCATGATTAGAAAATCCTCTTTCGATCCGGTCATACGTAAACCGTTGTTTAATGTTTATTGTTCTTTCGACCTTTGTTTATTTTTCTAATGTTGGACGCCATTGCGTTTGGTTTGCGCTGCGCATGTAGAGCTTTTGCGATGGGGGGTGGATGGATGGACGTATGGTGCTGCGTCCCTCTCTCGTGCAGCTCGGGGGGCAGGCACGCCGTGATCTTTAATTAATGATGATACAACATGCTAGTAATTAATGCATACGAGTAATGATTACACACACGTGCTAGTACTCTATTCCTTGTCAGAGTTTTGATGAGAGATCTTGTACTATTAATTAAATCGTATACTTAGAGGGTATGAGCATTTGACTGCGTCCATGGATGTCGTAATCGATTACACCATCCGTTTCGATTGCAACTGATGATAGCAACATGGGCTTCGTATTAGATATTATGGATATATGTAATGGAAGCTCTAAAACTTGATACGAAAAGGTAATTGAATCCTAAAACTTATAAAAAGTATAATCGAATCCTAAAATTTGTTAAGTCGGTGAAATCAAATCCCTCCGTTAGCTCCGCCTAACTAAACTAAAAAAAAAAATGCTGATGTAGCTTATTTTAATTATTTCTCTCACCTATATGGCAAATAATTTAAAGCTCGTACTACATATGTCCAAAACGACGTCATTTTGGCTCATTTATTGGTCCAAAACGGCGTCATTCAACTCTTGCCCCAAATCTTTGTTCTCACATTGTGTGGTGTTGCCCAGAGTTCTTTTTTTTTTTTTTTTAAACCCAAATCTCAAGTTCTAAGCCCTAAATCACATTCTAGTTCGTGTAAGCTCCAAATCGAATGTCTGAGATCTCTTCTTCATCGATTGCGAGTCCATGGAAGTCGTCCCTTCTCATTTCACGGTGTCGCGGTGGCAAATCGAAAGTCGGCGTCAAATCCCTTCTCATTGCATGTAAGTCATCCCACGGGAGTAGCGTCGACAATGGAGATAGACGGCGACTCTCTCCTCTTCGCAAGTATCGCGTTTATCCATTTTAATGAAATCAGTTTCAAAGTAATGCTTTCTTGATGTAGTAGTGAGTAAGTTCATTGCATGGCCAATTTCAAAAACTATGGGAAGTTTGAACCTTCATCTAAAACCTAGCATACCAGTTCAAGGACAATTTCAACATCGAGCCTAGAACTTTTGGTTTTA